CCCGAGGCGGGGAATCACTCCCCCTCGTCCGAAGCGGAACATCTGGCTTCAAGTGCGGCCCCCTCCCCTCGCGCTGCCGCCCGTACACGAGCCTCCGATCGCGAAGCCCGTTGCGAATTTCACTCGCGCCATTCGGCCGGTGACGAAGACGAGCCGCCGCTGGAAGTGAAGACCCAACGGGCGCGGTCACGGACCACCAACTTGGACGATCAGCGCAGTGAGCTCTCCAGCAATAATTTTTTTAGATCCCGGAATCGTCTGGGCTCCATCAACACCGCAACATCCCAACTTAGAACCCCCGATGATCAAACGACGTCGATCGGGTTCCCGTCAATACAATCGCCCACTTACCTTAGCCATACCCTTGGTCGGCAGCGATCAAGCAAGCCTCCCGGAAGCTCGAATTTGGTAACGAGCGTGTCGGCCAATCAAACAACATCCCCGCTGTCGAGTACCGATGCATCCAAAATCCTGCAGCTCATGAAAACAACTTGTGGAAGGATGCACGGCATTCTTTCGTTTCGGACTGCATCTACGACCGCTTGGTCATCGGGCTATTGCGCCATTAATGTTGCCACGGGAAGCTTGATATACCAAGCTAAAGGAGAGCCCGCATTGGCCAAAACACTGATCCCCGATCTTCGTGGCTGTCAGGTTCGCACCTTGGTCGATCCCGAGACCCGTACCAACTATCTCAGTGTATCAACCTTTACTTCTGGTCTAGGGGTGGAGCTGAAACCTCACGTCAGCGAAACATTTGATTCGTGGTTAGCTGCACTGTTATGCTGGCAGCCGATCCGACCCAAAGGTGTTCAAAATAAGATGACGAAACCACAATCGGTGGTCATCGGTGATCGCCGCCTGGTTGAACGTAGGAGAAACTCGGAGAGCACTGTTCAGAAGGAGGCAGCAATCATCAAGGTGGGTAAAATGCTCCTCTGGGATAGGCCGAGTGCCTCTGGCGTTCGACCATCGTCAGGGCGTCGGGTTTCCACCTACAGACAGCAAAGGGCACTTTCTGCGTCTTGGCTACGCGTAAGCTGCACGCTGCAGGAAAACGGCGCTTTCAAGCTATACACGGAGTCAGACATCACTCTGGTCGCTTGCATTCAATTGTCGCAACTCTCCCGCTGTGCAGTACAACAACTGCACTCATCCGTCTTGGAAGATGAATTCTGCATTGCAATATACCCGCAGTATGCAGTACATTCTGCTTCGGGCCTAACGCGCCCAGTATACTTAGCTCTTGAAAGTCGCGTTCTGTTCGAGGTGTGGTTCGTCCTTTTGCGCGCGTTCACGATCCCAGAGCTTTACGGCCCTGAAACGCCAGTAGAGGAAGAGTCTCCGAAGACTCCAGGAACAAGCGAGACCAATGTCGCTTCTACCGCGGACATGTTCCGAATCGAGAGAGTACTTGATGTAAGAGTAACGGAAGCTAAGCTATATCGCTGCAGAACCGCGGAAAAGACTCCCCGCAGTCGAAAGCAGTCCCGGTCTCATAGCAACTCGGCCCCCGCCTCTGCAGTGAGTGATTACTATACCGAAGTTCTCCTGGATGGCGAGATTCGGGCGAAATCTGCCGTCAAATACCGCACAGCAAACCCTTTCTGGCGAGAAGACTTCACTTTCAGTGACCTCCCACCCGTTCTGTCACAAGTCTCCATTCTTGTCAAGACGATCAACTCGACCCAGAAGGATTGGTCACTGATCTCGCATGGCTCTTATGCCCTCGGTCATGATTCGAACCCTCTGCGCGCATTGGATGACGTAGAACTCGCTTCTCATGATGCCACGTTTGGCAGGGTTGACTTGAAACTAGATGACCTGCAGCCAGGGGTGGAAACCGAAAAATGGTGGCCAATCCTGGACGACAAAGATCAACCTGTGGGTGAAATGCTCATGAGGGCTCGGATGGAAGAGACTGTTGTGCTCATGTCGCAAGAATACACCCCGATGTCTGAACTTCTTCATTCCTTCACCAATGGTCTCACGATAAATATGGCTCAAGTCATGTCATCCGAACTTAATCAGCTTTCGGAAGCGCTTTTGAACATTTACCAGGTTTCAGGGACGACCGTCGAATGGATATCAGCCCTAGTAGAGGACGAGATCGACGGGGTGCATAAAGAGTCGACCGTAAGTCGACTACGATACACGTCGAGAATCCATTCCAACGACGCACGGGAATCAGCCCAGGACCGGGAAGTCCTCGTCAGAGACCTGGGCCGAACTGCTACTGTGGAAGCAAACCTTCTCTTCCGCGGCAATTCACTTCTGACTAAGGCACTCGATTATCATATGCGTCGACTCGGGAAGGAGTATCTAGAAGAGACGATTGGAGAGCGACTTCGCGAGATTGATGAGACTGATCCAGACTGCGAGGTCGATCCGTCTCGTGTACATCGTTCTGATGACCTCGACCGTAACTGGAGGAATTTGATTGCTCTAAGCAATGGGGTCTGGAAGTCGATTGCGGCCTCGCCCTCCAGATGTCCGGCCGAATTGAGACTCATTTTCCGCCATATCAGGGCGTGCGCGGAGGACCGATACGGCGACTTCCTTCGAACTGTCACGTACAGCAGTGTTTCCGGATTCCTATTCTTGCGATTCTTCTGCCCGGCAATCCTTAACCCGAAGCTCTTTGGATTGCTAAAAGGTATGCGCCCAACTTTTAGTCATGACTGTTTTCACCAGTGCTAATGGCAATCAGATCACCCGCGCCCTCGTGCTCAACGTACTTTAACCCTGATAGCGAAGGCTCTGCAAGGCTTAGCCAATATGACTACTTTTGGCAGTAAAGAACCTTGGATGGAGCCCATGAACAAGTTCCTGAACACTAACCGGTCCGATTTCAAACAATTCGTGGATTCGATCTGCGCGATTCCTGCTGACCGTCCGGCGCCGATTGTGACTCCCTCTTACGCCACGCCCATTCAGATTCTGGGCCGTTTGCCCCCAACCTCACGCGAAGGGTTCCCCAGTCTACCTTTTCTGATTGATCATGCGCGAAGCTTTGCCAATCTGATAAGCATCTGGCTGGACTCGGCACCAGAGAGGCTGAACGAGTTGGAGGAGGTCGACTCTGCTGTCAGCAAGTTCCATGAGCTAGCCCTCCGGCTCCATCAACGGACAAAGGATTGCATGAGCCGAGCCGAGCAAGCTGAGCGTCCAAGCGGAAACCTTGAAGTCAAATGGGAAGAATTGATTGACTCAATGGAGCGGTCCGCGACCTTCTACGACGACAGTTCTAAGCCCACCAGCCCGACGACGGAGGCGGCCGTGGCGGGATCTACCTCGGTGACGGGAAGTCATCGCAATTCAATCGGCTATTTCACTTCACGGCCGTCCCTCCCGCGTCGATCAACTGATCGCCCCCCTGAGGGTGATGAGGATACGCCACCCAGTTCTTCATCTGCGACGTGGGATCAGAGTCGAGTGCCCTTCACAATCCCTCGGTGGGCTGATCCGCGGGATAGTACCGGCAGCTCAAAAAACTCCTCGACATATTCCCTCGACCAGGAGCCGTCCAGATCTAGACGCTCCAGTATTACAAGGGAGACTACAAGCAAATATCGTTTCTTTGACTTTGTCCCCGCCACCTCTCGACGCAAAGCCAAAGATCGAGATCAAGCCCAACAGCAGTCCCGTGAAGAACAACGGAGTGAGACATGAGTATAAAAGCGTCTTCATAGGCCCGAACATCTACGCTTCGACGTTCATGATGACTATGGCGACCAGGAGCGGCCTGGTTGATACATGGGCTTCCCAACAATAGCCTTGTGACGCATTCATCCTTACATTGGAGCTGAGCTCCTGTCTTGTGGAGAAACCGACTCTCCAATTCTCGAGGACAAGCCGACAGCGGGATGTGCGAACCTCGACTGAAATGCGAACCATATGGCAGGTGGCAGAATTATTGTTTGTTGTTCATCTTCTCCTTTTCTGTATAACACAAGAGATCGATTCCATTATCGAAAGACCTGCGTCTTCTGGTGTAAATTCTTCTCCTCCCCTCGCCGTTCTCTTGCCTCCATTGATTTTCCTCTCTTAAGCAGCATGTGCCCACGATCTAACGTACTTTCTTCTGTGTGGTTGTCTCTTTGTTTCCTCCTGGAAAGCATTTTGTTCTGGTGTTGATACCCTGCTCCAATTGGGGTTGTTTTTGCGTCATTTGGTCCCTGGACGTGTGAACAGCCCACTGGATGGATATATTGGATCTCTTGAGGAATTGGGATGCCTCGAACGTGAGAGATGACCGACCCCACCCTTTGTTCTTCTCTTTTCTTTGGCCCCCTCTACATTTTCTCCTTGTGTAAATAGCGTCTTTTCTTCTCACCAGATTGGTCTGGGTATAGATGACACGACTACTCCATTAACCTGTTCGATACCGACTATTGGCTTTGTTTTCTGGAGTATGCGTAACCTAGGAAATTACTCTGGAACTCCACCCCTCCCCTTTGGAGAAGTGGAAGTGACTGACATACTGTCCACTCACAGGTCAGCTGGCCTGATTTTCGGGAGATCGAGTTGTCTCTCCAGTCATATCCGATAGCATGCTAATCATCTAGATACCTGTTCGGCATAGATGTACCCGAAAATGCCGGTCTCGCCTGTAAGCCTGGATGGAGCGCGGAAGTTCCCTCGACGGCCCTCATGAGGTTGAAATCAGGGAGGGTCGGGATCGCCGTCTATGAATGCTTATCAGTGTGAATAAAAGTCTGCGCTCAACCTTGGCCTGACATACCCCTTCCATATCGCCTGAACTTCGTCTTCGATATTATCTAATCACGTTGGTGGAGCATCAGGGTGGGCACCGTCAGGAACAAGATCAACGACCCTTGAGGAAGTACTGTTAAGGAGGGACTGGCAGTACCAAGGCAAGGAAGAACCAGGCGCAGGTCCATGTCGGCAGCCTCAGATAGAAGAACGCGACGCATTCAGCGCCCAACGCCTTCCATCGCTCCGCAGCGATGAACAGGGGTACGAAAGTTACATCGCGTTCAAGGCAAGTAGGCTAGATCTACGGCGAACGGCTGCTCCACCGGTAGCCCGATCCAGGTCAAATCGTGCAACATCTGCTGCCATACGGTCGCATCCCAATCTTCGGCCACCGCCGCCGCGAACCCTGGGGCTCGAGGGGGATCGTCGGGTGTTGGTTGCGGTGAGATATGAGCGTTCTCAGCGTGCTGGGTAAATGGTGTTCTAGTATCTCCTCGATCTGGTGTGGAATGGGGCCGTGCCCGACTGCTCTCCAACCATGAGAGCATGGATCCGATCACTGCACGGCATTTGTCCCAAACGTCATCGTTCCGGGACATTGTCGCCATCTTCTGCATAGCCGCCAGGCCGAGGTTGTGGATGTCTTTGGGACGGACGTCGACTGCCTTGCCTTTCGTCGCGGCATCCGAGAGTAGGCTCAGCTTCGATAAGACCAGCAGGCCGTACCAGATGGATGTGTAGCTGAACATGGGGAGGTTGGGGGTGATTGAAGCCGGCGATGCGAGGAATACTGTCACGGTGTTGAACGCGGAACGCGCGATGGTCAGGAGTTGCTGTTTCTCATACTGGCGAGGGTCATCCTTTTGCTGCCGCAGGGCGTGTCCGAGAACAATGGCCGGCATTGCGTTGAGCTCCAAGCGCAGGGCCCCTATTGAGGTCAGGAAATGGCCAAGCTATTCTATTCAGTCGCGGACGGGACATACAAGTATTACACTGTATTTTCTGTACGAGACGGTGCTCGATTCGATTCTCAAGTATGTCCATAGACCGGGACAGTTCGTCCGTGCTCATCGCATGGATAGGGTCTTCGACTTCTGGCTCCGATCGCCGAGCAAGCGATTGGATCTCAATTAGTGCTTTGAGAGACTGGTCCGTGGGATACTCCGCCCTTTGCCCTAAGCTGTGGGCACAGTAGTCGACTCAGTCCGTGTTTTTCATGATGAGCTGTCGCCGGAATATCGAGGCCCTGGTTCTGTTAGTCAATAACTCTGGACTGCATATCGTATTCACAGCTCGTACTTGGAACATAGATAATAGCACTCTAAAAAGGCACGCTGTCCGTCAGGGGTCAGATAGAGCGCTTGGGCTTTGTGTGGTTCCTCTGCCTCTTTTTCTTCGGGATAGTGGCGCTGCATTCTGAAGTTGTCGCATCTATCCAGTCCGAAGTCCACAACGATGGCCATAGCCATCTGCAGAAGCATGTACACCTGGGTATGGTAAACGCGCCAGTGATAGTGATACCATGCGATATGGACCAGTAACCCCCGGAGTAGATCCATGTCCCTCTCCATGTTCATGACTATGCGGGTCGAGATCACAGCTCGTGCTTCGAGCTCTAGTTTTTGCTGTAGATCGGGCCTATGCTCGAGACAAGCTGTTATTATGCACAGGAGAAGGAATGGAGACTGCTTGCCCAGTTCGACAAAGCTCGCTTCGGGTACAATGACGAATGGAAACAGGGGCATCAATTCTGTGCGGAATTTCGAGAGTAGCTCTTCGCCTTCAGTGATACTGAGAAGTCCCCGGGTGATTGATTTGTGGAGCGGCTCAGGTATAGAGCTTGGGTGTGTCGAAGTATTACTGATTGTAGAAGGGGATGACATTTCTGTTATAGATGCCAGTCCCATTCTCGGGTCCAAGTCGAAACCGTTGAGATAGTCTTCTTTTTAGGTGCATGGCTCGGAAAAGGCTACCTGGTCAGTATGTAACTGAGCAACAAGTGTGTCGACCTGTTGCTGGATGATCGCAATGCGGCTGTTCCTGGAGTCAGGGAGAGAAAGGTTACCCATCAGTCTACCCCCAACACAAGGGTACGATATATGGCTATGAGCTAACCTGATGCTTGCATTGCTGCGCGAGCTGTCTGGAGAAGCACAGTGTCGGTCAAGTCTCGCACACCGTTGACAACGTCCACTCTCAACTGGCACGCATTTCACTTTCAATTGAATGCATCGTACGCAGGCATGCCGCCTCGAGGGCGCTTGCGGAGGCATTTCTCTTTGTACTGGACAATAGCTCCGGTCTCAAGGCAACTGAATGAGGGACAGTAAGTTGACAAGCCGGAGGTAGAGAGAGTACGGAGATCAACACGGCGCGGGGTCGGAGTCGACCTCGGAGCCAACCACAAAGCCGGGACCGGTCTCGGTCTACCATACCAACAGATTACCCGATTCGGTAATTGTTGGTATAATCCAGGACCTGGGCTTCGAAATCAGAAACAGCATAAAGCTGTGTCCTCATTGCCATGAACTACCCAATATAGTCTTCACAAATCTCGATCAGTTATAGCTGGAAGATGTCTACAAGTCCTCCTGACGCAGCACAGCCAATCAGTTCTGTGAAGCTGTATAGCATCTTGGCCGGGCTCATGATAGCCACGTTCCTAATATCATTGGATGTCTCCATCATCGCTACTGTAAGTTCACCCTCAGTTCTTTGTTTTTATTTGCCCTTCTTGAAACTCAAACTGACCCGTCAAAGGCCATCCCCTCAATATCAACCCAATTCCATGCTACAACAGACATCGGCTGGTACGGAGCGACCCACTCACGAAGTGCGCTCTTCAACCTCTCAGCGGCAAGCTCTCCTCACTGATATCGCTGCGATGGGCCTACCTCGCATTCTACGTCATATTCCTGCTCGGATCCCTGATCTGCGGCATGGCCAACAGCTCCAGGATGTTCATCATCGGACGAGCCGTCGCGGGGGCCGGAGGCTCCGGGGTAGTATCGGGTGGGCTCTCGGTGATTGCAATGATCACCACCCCGCAGCAGCGTCCACTGTTCACGGGGCTAATTACCTCTCTTTACGCCCTGGGAACTGTAGTCGCCCCGATCATCGGCGGCGCGCTGACTGAGCATAGGACGTGGAGGTGGTGCTTTCTCCTCAACCTGCCCGCAGGAGCCGTGACGGTGGTGGCGTTGCTCTTATTCTTCCACCCCCCTGCTCCCAATACCAACAATGGGGGTGTCCATCGCGCATCCCTCCTAAAACAGCTCGACCTTCTCGGATGCGCGCTCTTCATACCCTCCATCATCATGATCATGCTGGCCCTGCAATGGGGCGGCAGCGAATCCGCCTGGGGTTCAGCGACGGTGCTCGGACTCTTCGTCGGCTTCGCATTCACGATGACAATCTTTGTCGTCTGGGAGTGCCACATGAAGGAGCAAGCCATGATCCCCATCGTGCTGTTGCAGGGCAGGTCGACCATGCTCAGTCTTGCCTTTGCGTTTGTGTTCATGGGGTCGTTCGTCATCCCGGTGTATTTTCTACCCGAATGGTTCCAGATCGTCCAGGCCGCGAGCCCCATGCGCAGCGGCGTCATGCTTCTGCCGTCGGTGTGCACCCAGGTGCTTGGATCCCTCGTCTCCGGGATCCTAGGTAGGTCAAGCTTAGGGCTCATGCTATCCCCGTTTCCCCAGCAAATCCACAACTAACGGCGGAATCCCTATAGCCAAGCACCTCAGCTACTACAACCCGTGGCTCTTCATCGGCTCCGCCTTCCTCTGCATCGCCAACGGGCTGTACACAACCTTTACTGTCTCCTCAGGACCCGCCGCATGGATCGGGTACCAGATCTTCCAGGGCCTGGGCTGTGGCGTTGCCGCCCAGATCCCTTTGCTGATGGTGCAGCTGGCACTGAAGGATCGACCGCGCGACGTTCCTGTTGCGATCGCCACGGTTCTTTTCACGCAGTACTTTGGGAGTGCGGTGGTGCAGAGCATCGGGGGAACCATTTTTCAGACTGAACTGAGAAAGCAGCTGCGGGATCGGGCTTCGTTGGAGTATACGCAGGTGGAGATGCTGCTTGAGGCTGGGACCCGCGGGATGCGCGAGGTGGCTGCCCAGGCATTTCCGGATCGGTTGGCTGAGGTGGTTGTTGCGTATGACAAGGCTATTACTCCTGTGTTTGTGAGTTGATTCTCTAGGCTTCGTGAGGTGTGTGCGCGCTACGCTGACGGTGCTTGTTCACTAGTATCTTCCCGTAGCTGGGAGCGCTCTGGCGTTTATAGTAGCCGGCGGGATTCCATGGGTCAATACTCGCCCGGCGCAGGGAAATGGTGACTTGCTTTGTGCAGAGCGAAGTGAGAAACCTCAGTCGGATGGGCAGGTCACTGTGTGAGGAACTAGCTTGCTGCGCGTGGTCATTGGGTATGCAACACTGACTCTAAAGGTTCTGGCGGTATCAATGGTAACATTAATGCAAAATGCAAAAGATGGCCAGGAATGGGAAGGGTATACTCTTGAAGGAGGGTGATATATTGACCCAGATAGATTATAACTAATACTAATGCAAACCAATTGGAAAGGGAACCTCGATTATCTGGGTCAATTCTATAATGCGTACCGGAACTCCTTGTCCTGCTTGTCAGTCAGGTCATTGCTGGGTAAACCATTCTCATCGAGTTCGATCTGCGGATCAGTCCCCTGCAGCTCCGAAGACCTCATCTGCGCGTCACGCTTGCGGTTGTCGGCTGCACATAGAAAGCGGTAGACGATGACGGCCACGAAGAGAAGACACCATGTCACAATGGAAGTGATCACGCCCTCGGTATACCGTGGCTTGTGCGTCCACAGCTGTGGTGAGCCGATGCAGCCTGCCGAGTAGCCTATGAAGAACATGGTGTTCACGATCGCCCGTTTGGTGTTGCCCTTCACATTTGAGGCGGAGAGGGAGAGAAGTATAGACATCGATGCTGTAATGCACGAGGACTAGACAGGGTCAGCATTGGTTTTAATTTCCAGAGCCATCGTACCAAGGCCCCGCAAGTATTGTGCATGTAAACTCACCACCCAAGCAGCAACGATGAGCCCCCACTCCGCCGCCACGTCAAGCTTCATCAAGAACACCGTCCCCACCAGTGGCGGGATGATCAGCAGCAGAACCACCAGACTTCGCTGCCGCGGGAACCAGTACACCAGCGCCGTCCCCACCCAGAGCAAAGCGACCTGCACGGCCCCGGAGGGGGCCGTGTAGAGCATCGTCTCCAGCTTGCTATAGCCGATCGATTCAATTACCAGCGACGCAAAGGTCAAGACGGGGGATTGCATGGTGACCAGCACGCCGAACCAGAACACCGCCCAGGCCTTGGGGTCCAGCAGGGCCTCGCGCAGCTGCGGCAGGGCGAAGGACGTCTTGTCGCCGCCCTCGCGATCCTCGGCCATGCGCAGCGACAACACTGTCTTCTCGCGAGCGGTCAGAAACCAGGCGTCCTTGGGCCCGCTGGGCATCAGCACGAAGAACCCGATCCCCGCCGCCACGGTGAGCGCGCCGCAGAGCAGGAACAGCACCCGCCAGGGGGCGATTGCCAACGAGGAACTGTTCTTGCCGATGCCGTACATCAGCAGACAGCCAATCACCTGGGCGACGCCATTCATGGTGATCCAGAGCGCCGTCCGCACCGTGTGCTCCCTTTTCCGGTACCAAGTCCCCGTGATGGTCACGAATGCCGGGGAGACGGCCCCCTCGCTGAAGCCGAGGAGGAACCGGACTGTCGCGAAGCCGGCAAAGTTTCTCGGGACGGCCAGGCACATGCAGATGATTCCCCATATGATACTGTCATGGAAATTGGGGTACCCATCAGCTCGACTTGTTTTGTGTTTGCTGGTCGCTCTGAGGAAGGGGGAAACGTACACGGTTGCACCCACGAACTTGGTTAATGGGAGCCGACTCATCAGATAAATGAAGGGATATTCCGCGACAAGCTGGCCGACATAGAAGATCGAGCTGGACCATGAGTATTGTGAGTTCGTTAGATTCAGATCTTCGATCAGGCCGAACACGGCCGCATAGCTCAGACTCTGCTTGTCGAGGTATTGCAGGAAGAATACGAAGCACATCTGCAATGATGAGCACCATCAGCTTCGTGCATCTTTGTTGGATCATAGTTGGAAGACTCACGAATGGCAGAATGACCATGTCAATCTTGCGTAGCACTGCCTTTTCCTCTTCCGCGGTATACGTATCTGATCCCACCGCGACAACCTCGCTACTCCTGCGAGTGCCATGATCCTTTTTCTCTGGGTCGTTCATTGTTGGAGGAGGTGAGGAGTGAGCTTATGTGTTTTGAGCAGTTTAAAGGAAGCAATAAGGAGACATTTGGCTTTGCTTGGCTGAGAATAGGACTGGTGTTGAATATACAGCCTGTTTGCCGGTCGACTCGGATCCCCAAACACAAGATAGGATGCACCAGGGATGATATATGGCCGGCATCACACCCCAGATTTGTCAATTGACCAATCAGGAATTCTTATCTTTCCAAGTTCAAGTTCTAGTATGAAAGTTGTTCGATAAACGACGTTGATAAGGGTGACCAGCGATACGAAGGAATGGATGATGGATGAGGGTCATCGATCCGATGCCGACTCGGCAATCTGCAATCTGCAAGGCCAACTTCCCGACAAGGACAAGGACAACATCCATCTGCAATGCGACCATCACCAACCATATTTCAGCCATCTTCTAGGAAGTGTTCTTGATCTCTCTCTCCCCCCCCCCCTCTCTCACCCTTGACTTGATCGATCAACTGAGTGAACACATAATACTCATCATGCCTTATCACCCACCAGTTCCAGGCTCCGACATCAAGCCTTGGGCCCGCGCAGCCCCGCGGGGGTATCTCTTCACCAACGCCAACATCGTGGATGTACAGGAGGGTTGTATCCTGGAGAATGCCAACCTCATTACCCGCCACGGGAAAATTGAACTCGTCTCCGCAGCTTCTCCTTCGCCCGAGGCTTCCTTTCCTTCCGAGCTGAAAGTCATCGACTGCAAAGGCCACTATCTATGCCCGGGCCTCTTCGACGCCCACGTCCACCTGTGCGCCGTCCCCGGCTACAAAGACCTCTCCAAAGCGTTCGGGAACTCAGACCACGCATCCCTACTGCGGCAGCCCTTCGTAGCAGCCCAGATGCTGCATCGCGGCTTCACGAGCGTCCGCGACTGCGGAGGCGCCCAGCTAGCACTGAAGGAAGCCATCGACGACGGGGTCTTCCCGGGGCCCCGACTCTTCATCTCGGGCCACGCCCTCTCCCAGTTCGGCGGCCACGGCGACCTGCGGGGCCCGCACGACCAGACCGAATGCTGCGGCGGCCTGCACCGCAACAACCACCTGGGACGGCTCTGCAACGGCGTGCCGGAATGCATGTCCGCCGTCCGCGAGGAGATCCGGTGTGGCGCCGACTTCATTAAAATCATGGGCTCCGGGGGCGTCGCCTCCCCGACGGATAAGCTCGAGCACCTGCAATTCACCAGCGCCGAGCTCGAAGCCATGGTGGAGTGCGCGGACAACGCGGGCACGTTCGTCACTGCGCACGCCTACACCGTCAAGGCCATCCGGCACTGCATCGACCACGGCGTCCGGGGCATCGAGCACGGGAACTTCGTCGACCCGCCCACGGCCCGACTGATGGCCGAGCGCGGCGTCTACCTCACCCCGACCCTGATCGCGTACGCGCAGATGGCCTCCGACCAGTGGCAGGGCTACCTGCCGCCCGAGTCGCAGGCGAAGAACGCGCAGGTGCTGCAGTCCGGGCTGCAGGCCCTGAAGATTGCGGCGGAGGCGGGCGTCACGATGTGCTACGGGTCCGATCTGCTGGGGCCGTTGGGGTCGGCCCAGACGCAGGAGTTCGCCCTGCGCGCGCAGGTGCTCTCCCCGCTGGAGATCCTGCGCAGTGCGACGGTCCATCCCGCGCAGATGATGGGTTGCGGGGATGTGATCGGGCAGATTAAGGAGGGCTTTCGCGCGGATGTGGTCTTCCTGAACCAAAATCCGCTCGAGGATGTGACGGTCTTTGATCGGCCGGAGGAGCATGTGCTCGGGGTGATGAAGGATGGCCGCGTGTGTAAGAGTCGCTGGAGCGCGCTGGCGGAGGATGCGGAGATTCCGGTTCGTGTTCAATATAACTGACTTATGGGAGTAGATGTAAGGAATTGATTTTTGATCCTCCCAGTGAATGAGCCTTTCTGGGGGTCTGGCTTTTCTCAATAGTGCTGATCTTGTGGTTACAGTGTAAGAAGCTCTTTGTGTGTTGAGTGATTAGCTCAAATGCATGCGTGGGTTCCTAACAAGGAAAGCGCGAGATGGCTGTGACTGCTTCAAGTGGGCATTTACAAAGAGCGTGATAGGAGTAAGGCGTGGCTGTGACCTCTCCGACTAAATGCCATTGATGTAATATGCAAGTGGCTTCTACAAATCTTGGTTAAATGATGATAAGTACGATCATTCCATCTGGCCCATCAGACCCGAGAAATCCAAAGCATCTGTAGAAGCTGCTAGAGTGGCTAACGGCCAGGTCAGGTCAGGTTAATTAGAATTTTTATACCTGACCGCCAGGTTATAGCCAGGTTAAGGAAATTTTTATACCTAACTGCGGTATAGCTAAAAAACGGGCGGTTAACCGTCTTAACTGTTTTTGGTGCTAAGACCCTCCCGCTATACCTGTTTAGACTCTAATACAGTTAAGGTATACCCAGGTTAAGCGGTTATTAACCTAACCATCTTAACCGTTGCCTAAAAGTATACAGAAACAAGCTTTTTAAATTAGAAAACAATAACTAAGAAAAGTATTAGTATTTTCTTTATCTCTATCTAGAAGAATTAATCAGAAAATCCTAGTAGTATTAATAAAATTCAGCTTTTTATAAAACTGTTGCTTTTACAGTAAGAAATATATATAAATATATATAATTACAGCTCGGTTTGGGCTGTATACCTCAGTTATACTATATAATAACCAAAAAACTGTATATTTATTACTAGTTAGACTATTAAAAATAAATATACTACTTCTGTTCTATTATTCTTCTTCTTACTCCAGCTTAGATAGTCTATTATATTCTTATTTTCTATCTAAAAGAGCTGAATTGTCTGTATTATAAATTAAACTTAAAAAAAAACCCGCTGTTAAATTACGAGCTGGCAGATACGGACAATAACAAACAAAATAGTAGAATAAATAATAGACTAATAGTATCTTAATAATTTATTCTTTTATTTTTAACTAACTACTTAGTTAGGCTATTTTTAGATTTATAGATAAGATATAGCTCGAAAAGCTATAAAAGGATTTAGAAATAAAAAGATTCTTAAGCAGATTTAGAGTTATATAATAGGCGGTTAAAAACAGCAGATTTAGTAGATTAAGTAGATTAAATAAATTAAATAAATTAAGTAGATTAAACAGATTAAGTAGATTAAGCAGATCAAGCAAGTCAAACAGATCGAACAGATTAAGTAGATTAAATAGATTAAGCAGATTAAACAGATTAAACAGATTAAGCAGATAAGTCGGAAGAATTAGAACTATATTATAATATTTATATAATACTATTTATATAATTTTTTTCGGCAACTGTACTTTCCAACAATTATCTAATTAAATATCAGATATTATATTTTTTAGAGGATTCTGTAAAAGCCTTTTTCAGGTTTTTTTTATTAATATAAAAATAATCTAACTAACTTAATCGACCTAATTTTTATAACTTTAAGCTTAAGATATAATTCCCTACTTGCTAGGTCTTTTAAAATAAATAAGATACAGCAAATACTTTAGCTGTATTTAAAATATAATAAATTATATTTATATAAAAATATATTTTAAAATAAAATAAACTGTCTTTACAGAATTTTCTACTTTTATTTTTCTATATCTATTATTTACAGAGTAGTCTTAGAATTATAAGTTAATTATAATTATTTAGTTTATTTTTAAAAAATATTATTAAGCTCTTTTTTTCTGTTTCTTAGATTTTTATAAATTATAATAATATTTTAATTAAAATAAGCTTTTTAAGCTAGATTTTTTTTTTTTTTTTAAATCTCCAGATTACGCGTGTCGCGAAGAATCGGAAGATTATTTTATATCTAATTTATAAAAAAAAGCTTTTTATTTTTTAAAATTAGTAGTAAGAAATAATCTTTTTTAAAGTCTGTATACAAGCTTGAAAACCGCTATTTTACTTTAATTAAAAAAAAATATTAATAATATAAAATAGTTTTTAAAAAAATGTATTATTTTTTAATAAAATCTCTTATATCTACTATACTGTATGTTTTTATATCTTATAATATCCGAAAATTAAAAACTTAAAAACTAGTTCTATAAGCTACTATCTTTATAAGAATTATAAAAAAAAAATACTATTAGTAGTATTTAAGTAAATAATTAGTTAGATATTAAGTAAAGAGCTATTACAAATATTTATTTATTTTTTAAAAATAAATCTTTTTTAATTGTTACTTTTTCTAAGCCTCTGCAGTCTATAATAAACAGAATTTTTAGAATTAAGTTTTATATTTTATAATTATCTGTTATCTACTATTCCAAACTATCGAGTATATTTAATTTAAATAAATAATTAATCTTATAGTTTTATTTTTTTATCGAAAATTAAGTTCTTCCAATTAAGTACAGATTAAAAAATATTTTTTAAAGTTATTAAGAAATATATATATATAATTGTTATTAAAGTTTTTAGATATTAAATAAATATTAATTATAATAAACTGCTGGACTAGTCTTAATCAGAAAATATTTTTTACTTTAACTAGATATTTTTTAATAAAAGATATAGATTATTATAAAATTCTACTAGACTTCCAACCGGTATCTAAATCTTATACTAGTAAGAATCTAGCTATAATTATTCTATTAGTTTTATATAAATATAATCTATTCTATCGGTTGTTAGATATAACAACTGATAATATTAATAATAATAATTTAATATTTAATATAATTTTATTTAAACTCTGGACTTAGCTTAGCCAGAATATTTAGCTTTATAATATTTTATTCTACTTTAATCTTATAATAATTATTTAAAGCTAGTATTATATATTCTATTTTACTTATATAATTTAGTTTATAGTTAATATTTTTCTATAAAAACTTTAGATTAAAATCTTAAACAGTACTGTTAAATATATATAAAAGATTTATAATAAAAGTCTTAAAGCCTCTTCTGATATTTTAAAAACTCTTAAAAAAATATATTCTAGAAGCTATTTGTAAAAAACTAATATAGAAAATTTTTACTGTCTATAATAAAGATTATTTAAATTAGTTTTTTATAAACAGGTTCTAAAGGTCTTCTTTTAGTAATAATTAATTTTACTAATTTTTAATTATAGATTCAGAAGATTATATGATTTATAAATATAAATTCTTAATACTATAAAAAGTTTCAGTTTATTTAATAATTTAAATTAGATTTAGTCTACTATCTTCTTCTTAACTATAAAACTTGCTGGAACTTAATCTATCTTATAATTTACTGGATACTTAATTTTTATTAAATAATTAAGAGTTTTATTCAGTACTATAATTATAATAATATTAATTATTTTTATTCTACTATAACTAAATAGAAATAGATAAAGTATCTTTTTAAACTTTTATACTTCTTTTTTCTTTTTATATTCTATTTATTTAAAAACAGTAGGCCTACTGTTTATAAGATCTATAATATTTATAATAATTTTTTTAATTATTTAGATTACTTAATTAACCGACTGGTAAGAAAGCGGGTACTCTAAAAAAAAAAGATTTTTAAAAACTTATAAAATATATATTAAAAGCTCCGAAAATACTACTATTATATTTATTAGACAGAAGGCTATATTTATATAATTATAACTATTCTAAATTTAATATTAAAGCTTAAGAAATTTAAAAAGAATATCTGGCTGAATAATAATACTAATTAATATTATAAATACCGAACTGTTTTTAAGAAGATGTTTTATTTTTATTATAGTTAGAATCCAGTTATTAATATACTATTAACTATCTCCGGGTTACTATTAGATCTAGATAAAGTTTTTTATAATATCTTTAAATATTAGAGATTTTTACCAGCAGCCGAAATATTCAAAGAACTTAAAATATATTTAGATATTAAAAATATATAATTTATAAAGATATCTTTAATTAAACTAATACTATTCTAGATACTATAAAATATATTAATATTCTTACTTATTAAAAATCCTATTATAATTAGTTTTTTATTTTTTATTAGATAGCTAAAAATTTTCTCTCGGTTGCTACCAACAGTATTAGTATTAAATATTTATTTAATAGTTTTTAAAATATCTGCTACTATCGCCGAAGCTGTTTTTATACTAATATAATTAAAGCAGTAATACTTTAAATATATACTAATTATTTTACTATTAGTAAAAAATACCAAAATATTTTTAATAATTTTAATCCGGATTTAATTATCTTTACATCTAAGAAGCAAGAGAAGAATAAGATAATTATTATTTTTTATATTAGTAAAAATAAGAATATAAATAATCTTAAAAATAACCCAGAAAATAGATTATTATTAAAAATAGAAAAGCTAGCTTTATCTAAGTTTTTAAATATTATATATACTTAGATAGAAATAGAGACCCGGTTTTCTTAATTTTTCTATTATTATAATTACCGTTCTAGATAGTATAAAAAATAATATAATCTTATTAATTTATCTAATATTAGATACTATTTTTTTATACTAGATTTTATAAAATTTTTTTTTAAAATATAGTATACCCCTCAGCTCTACGGGGGGAGAAATCGAATAGATTAAACAGATTAAGCAGATTAAATAAATTAAACAGATTAAATAAGTTAAATAGATTAAACAGATTAAGCAGATAAGTCGGGAGAATTAGAACTATATTATAATATTAAATAGATAAGCTAAATCTAAAAAATATTACTATACTATAATTAAAAATATATTATACTTTATATATTATTTGTATAAAAAAATATATATATATTACTAATTAACCTGCGGTTATTAACCTACCCGCTATATCTAATTTTTTTAACCGGTAGGTATAAACAGTTAAAATAATAATTATATCTTAATCTGACTATAATTATACGGTTAAAATTTTTTTGTATTTTAATCTAACCGCCAGGTTATGGCCAGGTTAAGGTTAAGGTATAACGGTCAGGTTAATCCACTCTAGAAGCTGCTCTTTCTTTCATGATTAATTCATTCCTATTATTGTTGAGGAAACTATCTAGGCTAGATATAAGAAGAAAAAAGAAGATGGTCCTGCTAGACAGTATATTTAAATAAAATAATATATAGAGTTAATAATACCGTCTTTTTCTATTATTTACCCTCAAATAAGATTATCCGGTGGAGAATTAAAGTTATTAGATAAAAAATTAAAATTAACTATATCGAAAGAATTAATATTAAGATTAAACAGATTAATATATTATATAAATATATTTAATTATAAATATTAATCCGGGCGATATAAATATAAATTAAAATTATTTAGAAAAGACTATTAGCAAAACTATATTATTAATTTTTT